TTATTACATTATGAAAACTGCAACACTCTTCCAAGATCTCACTTCCGTAGCTTGTATCACTTTGAATAAGCCTGTTATAAGACAAAGCTCCTATGTTTCATCAAGGAGAATCAGATGTGAAACAGCATGAAGATATTTAAGAAGCCAACTCAAATCGTTCCTCCTACATAAGCATTCAGGGCTTGAGCAGTACAGGTAAATAACGCACATTACAACAAAGCTTAAACTCGTTCTTCATAATAATTTTAAAAACAATATTAGCTGCCTATTTAATTTTAAAAACAGCAAAAAATATCCACCTCCCTTTCCATTTCTTATAAGGAGTCATGAAGTTTAAATCTCCTCAGTGTGATAGATATGCTTGCTTTGATCTGCTTAGCTCTTGGAAGTCCAGGGACTCTGGGCTGCGGGCCCAGTGCTGCCTGGGGTTCCTAGGGACAGCTCTGTCTGCCATTAGGGAATCTTTTCCCGAGAACCCCCTGTAACATTTTGCGAACCCCACTTTGGGAACCACTGTCTTAGAACTTTGCCGCCCTGAAGGTTCAGCAGGGATTTCTTTTTTGTTTTTAATGAAGAATTTTCACGAATCGATCACGTGATTACTTAGCCAGGAGAGATGGCTAAGTAATTTCCAATTTGTCCCCCTGACAATCAGGAGTGACTCGTGGCTTGGTTATAATGAAGCATTTTTATGAACTGGTGGTGAAGGGATGAATGGAAATATGGCTGGATGGGCGGATGAAGGTGTAAGGGTGAAAGTGGAGAAGGTGTATTGGTGGATGAGGGAAGTGGCCTTCATGTAACCCATGTATTACATAACTCAGAAAGGGTATTGTGACATCAGTCAACAGAAACATGAGACTATTGCTTCTTGTCTCATCTCTTGCTGTAAAAGGCTGTTCCGTAGCTGAGCAATAACATTGAAAAGTTCAAAAGTAGCTTCTAATTTTGAGCGTCTCCATTTCTGGGTTCCCCGTACGATGTCTTGAGCCTTATTTTCAGAAATGTGCAACAGCATCCCTCACTCCCATTGGAATTATGGATGTTTCATACTTTTGAAAATCATGTCCAAGATGGGTGTCTCAGATGAGGCACTCAGAATTAAAAAATGTATTCTTCAGCTTCCCAACACTTTCACCCTGTTTCTATTTGTCTCTCTTAAAAATGCTATGATCAAATGTATTCCATAATAATGATGCTTTTATTAAGCTCCTTACATTTCTATCACAATGAATCCTAGGATGGGGAAATACACAATATGTTGCAGGGAATAAATATATTTATTGCTGAAAATGTAGGAATATATTTCATATAACATCATAACAGAAGAGTGATAATTCATTTTATAAAAACTATACATAAAGTCATTTAAGTGTAAAAATACCAGTTCATTATACTGTTTATTATAACACGTATGGCCCAATTCTGCCTGGAGTCAGTGAGATTACAGAGGCTGTAAATTAATGTAGGATTTGGCCTGCTGCATTAATGAAGACACAATGATTATTCACAGAATAATCAAGATAAAACCTCTCCAGCTCTGGATAAAGCTGGCAGGACATACACTGACTAACTGAAAACCAGAGTGGCAGCTGAGTTTGTTGCACAGCTGAAAGATCTATCAGAGCACCTTCTTTTGGGTGCTTTCATTTTTGGATGCTCAATCTGAGACAGTTTGTGCCCGATTTTCAGAGGTACTGAGCTTCCCATAGCTTCATATGAGTTCCCTTGGAGTTGTAGGTGCTCAGCACCTTTGAAGGCATCTCAAGATGCTCCCCCTGCCCCCCCTCCCCCAATTAGAGAACATTCTTGGTATTTTTGGCCTGTATGTCCAAAGAGGTTCTGATAAATAACAGCTGTTTCACCTCAGGTCATTGTCTGTCATGAGAACAAAATTCTTTATAAAATATTCTCAAGTGTTTGTATTAGAAATGGGCCAAAACCAGCCAAAAATGTGGAGTAAATTTGGATCCAGAATTTTGTTACTGGGTTCTAAATCTAGATAAGCTGCCTGGATTTAACATCCTCTTCCTCCCCAAGTCTGGATCCTGTTCTGACTTTTGCAGTTGGGTCCAGCTCTAGTTTGGCTAGCTTACTTTATTTACACCTTTGGCTCCGCACTTGGGCAGCAATACTGGCATATCCTGAGAGATCCTGTCCTCCAGAGAGTTCTAACCCAGTTTTGTAGAACCAATAGGTTCCTGATAGCCCAGATGAGCAGAGGAAATTCACTTAAGGTTTTGGAGAGTTATTCAAACTCTGAACCTTTTGAAGTTTGCCTGTTAGTTTCTGAGAGTGTCCTAGGGTTCCAGATATATGTGAAGTTGGAGCTTTAGTCAGCAGTAACTTGAGTCTGTGGACTTTGTTTGCTAAACAGCTCAGCTGTCTAATTCCAATTTAGCAGACAGAATTCACTTCCCCCAATAGGCAAAGACTAGTTTTCACTCCATGTGGGTGAGTCTTTGGATTCTGAGCTTGTAGCAAAAAAGAAATGTGGGTTTATAGCACATGCACAGAGATGCTGCTGTAGTCATGGCTTCAGGGGGACCTTTTTAACCATGGTCTGTGTCCTCTGAATCTGTTAAAGGTGGACAATGGATGAGTGGCAACAGTGCAGCCTCCAAACAGCTGGGCATAGCCTTAAAGCTATCTAGTAGATAACAGAGGGCAGGCCTATAGACCTTAGCTGGAAAAAAACCTACCCTAGCTTGTAATAGAGACTTAAAACTTTCCTTTCCATCCCCAATCTCCCTATTATTCTAACTTTCCCAGCAGAGGGAGCCCCAATCCAGCACTTGATCCACAGGCATAGGTTTAAGTTCATTTGGCTTTTTTGCCTCTTAAATCCTATGGCACATGGTGATGCACAGGCAGCCAAACAGACCAGGAGCCTTCACCCAACATGGCCATAAACTTTAAAAACAGGAGCCTGCATTTGGCTCCTAATAAAGTGGCCTGGCTTTCCAAAAGCCTGAGTACCCAGTGAAACCATGGATCTGGGTGGGCAGCTCACTCAGCACTTTTAAAAATCAGGCCACTTATTAGGTGCTGAACGGTTGAAGGCCCCAGTGTCCTGCAATAATCTCTGCACAGCTGTAACCGTCTGTCTGCGTGGGGACCCACTCAGGGCCGGCTCTGGCGTTTTTGCCGCCCCAGGCAAAAAAGCCTCCCAACCCCCTCCAGCGGGGAGCGCGGCAGGGGAGGGCGGAGAGCCCGGCCGGGGCTCCGCTCTCCCCGGTGGCCAGAGCGCCAGGAGGAGGGCGGAGAGCCCGGCCGGGGCTCCGCTCTCCCCAGCAGCCAGAGCACCGGGAGGAGGGTGGAGAGCCCAGCTGGGGCTCTGCTCTCCGCGGCGGCCAGAGCGCCGGGGGGAGGGCGGCGAGCCCGCTGCGGCTCCACTCTCCGCGACCGGCCAGAGCGCAAGGGGGAGGGCGGCAAGCCCGGCCGGGGCCCCGCTCTCCCCGACCGGCCGGAGTGCCGGGGGAGGGCGGCGAGCCCACCGCGGCTCCGCTCTCCCCGACCGGCCAGAGCGCCGGGGGAGGGTGGCGAGCCCGCTGCGGCTCTGCTCTCCCCGGCGGCCGAAGCGCCGCGGGGAGGGCGGCGAGTCCAGTCACAGCCCCGATCTCGGGCTGGAGTGCCGCGCCACGCCGCGCCGCCCCCCTCCAGGTGCCGCCCCAAGCACATGCTTGGTGGGCTGGTGCCTGGAGCCGGCCCTGGATCTATTGAGGTCAGTGAAGCTCCAGACTGGCAAAGGGGGTCACACGCACAAGACTGGCACCTAACCTTGCACTTACAAATCCAGCTTTAGAAAATCTTGGCTGGTGGCTTTGATTGAGCTGGACATTGCATGGGACCTCAGTAAAACTCCCCAGCCAATCACTGCTGGGTGGAGACCTTTAAAATGTGCAGACTTGTTAGTAATACCCACACGTGGAGATATAAAAAAATCCCTTAAGTCTTGCACTGCTGCCCACACCCAGCAGTGTCTACTACATGTAGTCTCCCAATCTTTGTTTTTCCTTAAAGTACTGGTGTTCTATGAGGGTTTAGCCTCTTTCTGCTGAATAAAGCCCAGGAGATCAATAATACTTCACAAGCAGGAGGACTTAAGGTAGCTTGTTTATGAAATTGTATCAAATCTGCTTGGTTATTATTGCTGAGATGGTAACTATATTCCCGGTATATAGCATTGTTTTAAGTTCACTTTTACATTCATGTCAAGAGTAAACTCTAGTACAGCTGAGCACCCTGCCCTTCAGCAAATCTTTCTTTTATCTCTCCTCCCTCCCTGCTGCCTTGATGCTGATCCTGCTGTAGAGCTTGGTCTGCGCAATGTAGCCTCGTGGTTTTCAATTTCATGTCCAGCAGCGCCCCAGTTCATTTACCTCTGAAACAAGAATGTAGGCCGTGGAATGTAGCAGCTCATGGGGGAGAACAGAAAGGGAGGCACTCTTCTCCCTTACAGTCAATTGCTTTTCCATCACAGACCTAGAGAATGGGATGAATCCGTTTCTATTCAGATTTGAATATGGGGATGCTCTCAAGAGCTGAGGGATGGGGTGGATTCTCCATCACTTAGAATCTTTCAAGCAAGATTGGATGTCACTCTAAAATATACGCTCTAGTTCAATGGCAAGTTAGTGCGTTTAATGCAGGGATTGCTGGATGAGTATCTCAGGCCTGAGTTGTACAGGAGGGCAGACAATATGATCAGAATGTTCATAGAATCATAGAAGATTAGGGTTGGAAGAGACCTCAGGAGGTCATCTAATCCAACCCCCTGCTCAAAGCAGGACCAACCACAACTAAATCATCCCAGCCAGGGCTTTGTCAAGCTGGCCTTAAAAACCTCTAAGGATGGAGATTCCACCATCTTCCTAGGAAACCCATTCCAATGATTCACCACCCTCCTAGTGAAATAGTGTTTCCTAATATCCAACCTAGACTACCCCAACTGCAACTTGAGACCATTGCTTCTTGTTCTGTCATCTGCCACCACTGAGAAATAGCTTAGCTTCATCCTCTTTGGAACCCCCCTTCAGGTAGTTGAAGGCTGCTATCAAAACCCCCTCACTCTTCTCTTCTCTTCTGCAGACTAAATAAGCCCAGTTCCCTCAGCCTCTCCTCATAAGTCATGTGCCCCAGCCTCCTAATCATTTTCGTTGCCCTCCACTGGACTCTCTCCAATTTGTCCACATCCTTTCTGTAGTGGGGGGACCAAAATTAGACACAATACTCCAGATGTGGCCTCACCAGTGCCGAATAGAGGGGAATAATCACTTCCCTCGATCTGCTGGCAATGCTCCTACTAATGAAGCCCAATATGCAGTTAGCCTTTTTGGCAACAAGGTCACAGTGTTGACTCACATCCAGCTGCTCGTCCACTGTAATCCCCAGGCCCTTTTCTGCAGAACTGCCACTTAGTCAGTCAGTCCCCAGCCTGTAGTGGTGCATGGGATTCTTCCATCCTAAGTGCAGAACTCTGCACTTGCCCTTGTTGAACTTCATCAGATTTCTTTTAGCTCAATCTTCCAATTTGTCTAGGTCTCTCTGGATCCTATCCCTACCCTCCAGTGTATCTACCTCTCCCCCCAGGTTAGTGTCATATGTGAACTTGCTGAGGGTGCAATCCATCCCATCATCCAGATCATTAATGAAGATGTTGAACAAAACCGGCCCCATGACAGACTCCTGGGGCAAACCGGCTGCCAACTATACATTGAGCCATTGATCATTACCTGTTGTTCCTTTCTGGCCTTAAAAATCTAGGTCGTTTTACCCCAAATTAGTCTTCATTTTAAAATAAATATACATGGGCCAGATCCTCAGCTCTTGTAAATGACAGTAGTTCCATGGGCTTAGTTACTATTTACAGCAATCAGACCGTACCCAAGTCTTTGCCCATGGAAACATAACTTGGTAATGGGATGCTGGAGGAAGGAAAAAGCCTCCTCCCTGATAACTCTTTTACCTTGGTCCATTGGATTCAGATGCTCAGAAAGGCCAGATGTTTTCATTCTTTGTGCTTTGCCCCAGAACAATCATGGAGTTCCTCTCCATCTTCCTTCGATCCGAAGTCTTAACCTCTGGCCTAAACCAATGGGAAAATGCTATTAATGTTTATAGGACTCAGAACATGTGGTTGTGTTTTTGCACATATTACACTGGGCCTACATGCACACATCTGAGCTACATCCAGATCTGTTATTTTCTCCAGCTCCAGCCTAAATTTTCAAAACACATGCTGTCAAAATATTTGTGGCAGCATCCAAAAATGGAGGCTATAAAATGTTTTTGCTGGGCCATGAGTCCCAGCATAACAAACAGGCTGACACAAATACCATCTGCAGGAAAATACGCAGTATGTCCCCACATGCGGGGTGGGGAGTGACAGGCAGAAAATATCAAATCAACCCTATTGTTGGGAAGTTTCACCTTTAAAAATCCAGTTCTTTTGGTGGGCAGAAAAATGCTCTTTGGAGGGGCAAGATATCTGATTATTTGGATCAGTCTTGGCTTCAGTTTTTTTGATGTGTGTACAACCTGATTGAAGGGCCCATTGAAGTCACCATAAAGATTCCCACTGATTTTGGTGGGCTTTGGATCAGGCACAGTGGGCTGGTGAAAGATCGTTGCTGAGCCAGCTGAAATTTTTTGAACTTTTTTAAAGACTTTTTTTGAAAATGAAAATGTTCATATGTACATAGACAGAAAAATCAATAGTGAGTGGGTCATCCCCCCCACCCAAAAAACGTCACAGCTCAGATCCAGCTCTAGACAGGTTTAGTGAGCTGTGCACCTCTAAAGGCTTGTGGGCTTGCTTCAGAAAACCTCAGATGCCCCTGAAAATAGCTAGGGAGATTCCATTACTTTTAATTTTCATGGCTGCTTCTGGGCTCTAGCCCTGAGAGAAGCTGCTCTTGCTGTATTTGTAGCTCTCCCAGAAGGACATATTGGAAATGCTGTGAGAGCCTATTCTGGCACTCTGCCTATCCTCAGTGGGCTAAGAAAGAGTAGGATAGAAAGCAGTCGTGCTACGGAACCCTACTTGCCCCTGGAGTGGGGGAAGAGGTTAGGGTGACCAGATGTCCTGATTTTATAGGAACAGTCCCGATATTCAAGGCTTTGTCTTATGTAGGCGCCTATTACCCCCCATCCCCTGTCCCCATATTTCACACTTGCTATTTGGTCACCCTAGAAGAGGTGACTATTCAGATCAAATCATAGACTACTCCTAAGGGCTTTACGGTGCTATATGGTGATGGAGGCAGATATGGTGCTCAGATACCATGGTGATGGGGGCAGTAAAAATACCAAGGCAGATTTCCAGCCCAGATTTCCACGCCTAAGATTGGATTCTACCCATGATTTTGGAAGAAGCACCAATGTTTAGCTATTTGTCTGGAGCAAATATTTGACTGTGTGAAGTTCACATATGACTTTAGAACATCTTAAATCCAATAAACCAGCCAAAGAGAAAGGGATTAGGAATGATCTCTTCACTCCTTTCCTGAGGACCAGACCCAGGTCTGTGCACCACTTGAGTTCCCTAGTGATGGATAGGCTATGTGCACAGGGGTGAATTTCGCCCTACGTGAGTAAAGAATCAGTATGAGAACTGCATATACAAAAATCAGTCTGTTTTGGACATTATGAGGCACACCACATTGCTCGTGGCCAAGGGTTTGCCTTTGCAGGAGCCCATCTTTTGCTATGTAAAGCAACGTGTTCCTTTTCTAATAGGAGAATTCTTTTGCAGTTGTGAAAACACCTCAGAGCAGATCATTCATCATAACCAGAATGGGCCCATGAAAGGGGATTTGCTTTGACCTAAGTGAAAAAACAAAAACAAAGCGACTTTCCCTATTTGCCTGAATAACTCAAGTGGGACTAAGTGTAAAAAGCTACCAGTCTTCACTTCCCTGGGAGCTATCTGTTAGTAGAGGAAATCAGGGCTGGCTCTGGCTTTTTTGCTGCCCCAAGCAAAAAAAAAATAAGGAAAAAATGGGGGCACCCAAAAACAAAAAAAAAAAAAAAAAAAAAAAA